GCAAAAGGGAAATGCGCCCTGTGCTGGGGGGGAGCCAGGCAGGGCCAGGCAAAAGGGAAATGCGCCCTGTGCTGGGGGGGAGCCGGGCAGGGCTAGGCAAGGGGACACGCCCTGCACTTCCAGTGTGGGGGGACTAGGGTGCACGCCCTGGGGGTGAGTGGGGCGTGGCAGGATCACACACTCCCTGGCGTGCCAACTCCCCAAGTGTCTGGCTGCTGAAGTGGGAAGGTTTAACGGGAGCCCCGTGTCCAGGGGAGGTGAACATGACACCCCCCCTCCCAAGCTGGCCTCGAGCTGCCGGGGCTGGCAGGAAAGGCCCCTCGCGGATAGGTTGCCCCGGCGCTGCAGGGCACCTGGCAGAGAGGAGCTCGGCCCTGGGCTGCTGCAGCCTGGGACCCGGGCTCCCTGCTCCCTTGGCGCTGACACGGCGCCGGGCTCTCCCCGCAGCCCTGATGCACGCTGTGGTGTTTGGCAACGTCACGGCCATCATCCAGCGCATGTACTCCCGCCGTTCCCTCTACCACACCCGCATGAAGGACCTCAAGGACTTCATCCGCGTGCACCGCCTCCCGCAGCAGCTCAAGCAGAGGATGCTGGAGTACTTCCAGACCACCTGGTCGGTGAACAACGGCATCGACGCCAACGAGGTAGGAGGTGCCCCCGCGCCCATGCCAGGCGCTGCCACTGAACACAGAGCATGGAGGGACGGAGCCAGGGGAGCTGGCTCTCTGGCTGGGGCGCATGCTCGCTGCAGCTGCAGAGGGTCAGAGCTCTGTGCCGGGGGCAGGGCGGGGTAGGGGCTTGTGCGTCTGGGGCCGAGGGGTCCAGGTCCCGTTGCTGCTGCTGAGTGCCCGATGCTGGGCCGGTAACGCTGGGGTGCCCGGGCGGGCAGGGCTGTGAGCGTGCAGGGGACAGTACGTCCGTATCTCCAACGGCCTTGGCATCTCCTGCAGGAGGGCGGGCGTGTGGCTGTTCCCCTCCAGCGCCCTGGGGAGCCCCCCGCCAGCACCCCTGACTCCCTCCCGTTGCCCCCGCAGCTGCTGCGCGACTTCCCCGACGAGCTGCGGGCCGACATCGCCATGCACCTCAACAAAGACATCCTGCAGCTGCCGCTCTTCGAGACGGCCAGCCGGGGCTGCCTGCGCGCCCTGTCCCTGCACATCAAGACCTCCTTCTGCGCCCCTGGCGAGTACCTGCTGCGCCAGGGCGACGCCCTGCAGGCCCACTACTTCGTCTGCTCCGGCTCCCTCGAGGTTCTGAAGGACAACATGGTGCTGGCCATCCTGGGTAAGGCAGTGCCCGGCGTGCACCAGCCCCACCCCTGGGCTCACGGGCAGCAGGGGGCACCGGGCCTTGGCGAAGGGCCGACAGCCAAAGGGGGGGTTCCCTGGGGACGGGGCAGAGCTGCCAGGGGCAGAGCCTGTGGCCGGCCTGTCAAGCCCTGTGGCTTTCTGTCTGTCCACCTGTCCTGCTGTTTCCTGGCTGTGTTGGGGAGTTTCCCACACCCCCTGGCAGCAAGTTTCTGAGATGCTGGGGCCTCACCGGGCAGTGGGTGGCGGTTGCTCCGAGGCGCCCGTCTCCCCCCCCTCCCCACTTGGCGGAGGGACCTGCTGAGAGCAGGGCCTGGTTCCCTGGTCACACGGCTGCAGTGGAGATGGGCACTCCCCTGGAGCCCCGTGCCGTTAAGGGAGCCGGCAAAGCCCCATCCTTGGGTTCAGGGTCTCAGATACGCCATGTGAGGGGCCAGGAAGGGCCCTGTGGCCATCCAGATCACTGCTGGGCTGGTGGCAACCCCCCCGGCATCGCCACAAGCTTCTCTTGGGGCCAGTCCAAAGGGCCCTCCCTGGCCAGCAAGGTGCCCAGCTCCCCTGTGAGATGAACGGCAGGTCCTGGTGCCCTCCAGCTGGGCCGGAGCAGCGGAAGCTGGGTCTCCTCCCTGGGCAGAGTCAGGACTCCTGGGTTCCATTCCTGGCTAGAAGGGGACAAGGCCCTTCCCCCAGCTCTGTGCCTCAGGTTCCCATCCCTACAATGGGCCAGCCAGGAGGCGCGTGAACCCTCCGAGGCCTGGGCTATATTGGGGCCTGGCCAGGGAACCCCTCGTCCTGCTCACCCCCCTTTCCTGACGCTCGCAGGCAAAGGGGACCTGATCGGGGCCGACCTGCCAGGCAAGGACCAGGTGATCAAAACCAACGCGGACGTCAAGGCGCTGACCTACTGCGACCTGCAGTACATCACCCTGCGCGGCCTGGTGGAGGTGCTGGAGCTGTACCCCGAGTACTCCAGCAAGTTCATGGCCGACATCCACCAGGACCTCACCTTCAACCTGCGGGAAGGCAGCGAGATCGAGGTGGGTGCGCGCCTGTCCCGGAGCCGCGTCTGCCGCCCCTCCCCCCGTCCAAGCCCCGGCACCGGGGGATGCTGGCTGACCCCGCAAGGGCGTTGGGTCTCTTCAGCCCCAAGGGGTGGGCTGGGTGGGGGAGATTAGGTGAGACAGTGGCTCCCTGAGTCGCTCCTGCAGTCGGGAGGCTAGAGGAGACCTAGCGCAGGCTGTCCGGCCCTCTGGTGACTGCTCTGCACAAGTGTGAACACCAGCGGGGCTCGTGCGCAGGGCTGGAGAGCATGAAACACTCGTGGAGATACACATGGACGCCCCACTGCCCCGTCTCCGCTGCCTGCCACACCGCTCGAAGACAAGCTCCAGGCTCTGGGACTCTCGGAGGGTTTCTATACCAGAAGTGGAGCCAGCTCCATGCCCGCAGGCCCGTGGCCTGACCCAGGGGCTCCCCTCTTTCTGCTGAGTGGGCCCCACCTCCGGGAAAGGCCCTGAGTTGGACTCCGTGACACACAGCGTGGAAGTCAGCCAGTCCAGGAACTCCGCTGTTCCTGCCGGGCGCACCCCGAGATTGAATTGTGCCTGGGGGAGCATCTCGCTGCAGCCCAGCGCAGAGCCCGGGGGCCGGGCTGGAAGGTTTAGTCATTCTGCTGACTCCCACAATCAGGCGGGAACGTTCTGCTTCAGAAATAGCAGCTCATTGCTCATCCGCCCGGAATAGTTGCCTACTTTGTATCAGCTGAAATGAAGAAGAGCTCGGGATGTTTTACAGCTGTGTCTCCCTGTAGGTCCCAGCTGTGCCCTGCAGAGAATAGCCAGCACACTGGCTATTATTTCTACATACCTGTTAAAAAATCCACCACCAAGTCATTTCTAAATGAATACATAGGTAAAAACAATGGCCTGTGTTTGCACAGGACCTACAAAAACAAGTGTCGTGTGCGCCCTCTGCTGGTTAGCTGGCCAACCTCCGTCTCCGAGCTGTGCAGACCTTCCCTTGATAACTGCAGCACATCAAACAAAGACGTTAATACGCAATAGGTGGGTCAAGGAGACAACGGCCGGGTCTGGAGGCCGTTTAGCTGAGAGTCCAGCGTGGGGCCTGCCAGGGTTTGGTTCTGGTTCAGCAGCGCTGACCCCTCCTGAACTGCTGCTGTAGCGGGTTCTGCCTGAAGTGGCAGATGTCTTGCGAGATCAGATGTTTCCGTGAGGTTTCGGCTGACCAGGACCAGAAAATAGCTTCCTTCCTGCTTTGGACCTGACCGAGAAGCAGGTTCTGCTCGGGAGCCCTCGGAGATGAGGTTCTGCTTTCGGTCCATAATAAAAATAGGGAGAAAATAGGAACTCGGGGATAGCTGCGCCTGTGTTTTCAAACCGTTTAGGACGTAAAACCCGGTCGAGATTGACAAACAAACCCCCTGAGGGACCCGTCTCCCTGAGGCCCCTCCCATGGCTGCTCCACTCGGTGAGGCCACAGTCCGGCACTTATGACATCACTGTCACCTTTGTGGTGATGCCTGGTGACGTCACTTGCTCTGGATTGTGACATCAGCAAACGGGAAGATGGATGCACCGATCCCCCCCGGGCAGCATGTTCCAAGCCAGCCTGGACCCAGCGGCAGGTGCTGAGTGCAAGAGCAGCTTTGCTGATTGGCTGAAAGGTGCTGGCTCAACCCCGCTGAGCAGGGAGAGGCTGGGCAGCGCCGGTACCAACTGTCTCCCGCTGCCCCCTGCCAACGCTCTCCATCTCTGCTCTGCCGGCTGCGGGGCGGTGCCAATTGTGATGGGTGGTTTCTGTCCACTAGGCCCTGGAGCGAGACCAGCCAGTCATTTCGCACAGGCCACTGAACAGCCGGCGGATGGTAACGTGCTTCGGTCGCTACCGACCCAGGCTGCATTCGAAGCCGTGACCTCGAGGTGAAAGGCCGCGTGTCCCATTCCCGACCCCTGAGCTGTTCCTCCACCCGTCCGGCCGCTGTGGTCCTTTGAGTGTGAATGGTTCCCAGCCTCCCTGCAGCCCCTGCTCCCCGCTCGCCCCCCCCACTCTTCGCGTAGGTTTAGTCAAGAACCACCCCAAAATCTCTGTGTCGCCAGAGTCCTCGCCAAACCACCCTCTGTGGGCATGAGGCGCTGATCCAGCCGGCTCCCAGCGGGACCCCGTAGGGCTAGCCAGGGAAGGGTGGGGAGAGCCTGGAGACAAGGCACCCGCTGGGTATGGCTCATCCCGACGCAAAGCCAGCGGCAGACCTAGGCACCACTTCGGGCTGAAGCAGGACTTGAGCGGCGTCGGGCCTTGTGGGACTGGAGTGAGGGATAAGCAGTGCCTGGCCCTTGTGCCGGACCCCCTGCATGGGGCGGCTTCCCCCCAAGTGACCTATTTCTGCTCTCAAGTGCAGGCTGTGAGGTATCCCCCCCCCCCTCGCTCCCATCCACCCTCCAACCCCCTCGTGGCCCCATGGAATCTGGCCTTGAGGAGCTGGTAAAATAGACCCTGGTGGTAAAATCCACGCACCTGAGGCCTCAGCTCGGGCATGGCTCCGTCTCTTCCACCCCCACCCTGCTGCTCCCAGCCTCCAGCCGACCTGCAGCCGGGGGCAGCTTTTGGGCAATGCTGCCCTCTCGGCAGACACTGGTTGGACGCTGGCTCAAGCCCCCGATGCCCCTGGGAAGTGGAGGGCCAGTCCCAATCTGGGGTGAAGACACAGGAAACGGGGCAGCCGTTCTCTGCGATGGGAGCAGAGCGGCCTTAGGTCTGAAGCCCAGGCTGCGGGAGTGGAAGATTTTCCCTGGACACCAAGCAGGATGGTTGGAGGTGACCCGCTCTCCCGGTCGCATTAACAAAGGGCCGTCCTTGGCAGCACCCGAGTGCTGGGAGACTGGGAGCTGGGGGGCACGAGAGGAGAACCTTCCCCGTTCGCTGCGGCACTGGCCCAAGGCGGAGCATCAGGCGGTCGCTGGTCCCTACGTCCGGCTTGAATCACGGAGATCCCTCATCACATCCTTGGAAAAGCCACGTGCCATCAGGCCAGGGCTCTCTCTCCTCAGGCTCTGCCAGTGACCAGGCCATGTGCTGTTTGCTGTTGTGCCCACCACGTGCCAGCTGCCTTCCAGACCCTTAGGGACTGTCCCTGCTGACAGCAGCCGGGGTAGGGGGTCACAGGCGCAGGGTACGTGCAGGTCAGACCCAGAGCAGGGGCCGGGGCAGGGGATTACAGGCGCAGAGTACGAACAGGTCAGACCCAGAGCAGGGGCCGGGGCAGGGGGGTCACAGACGCAGAGTACGTACAGATCAGACCCAGAGCAGCGAGATTCCGCACAGGCGGCCGGACAGAGGTGGGCGTTGAGACAGAGACGCGGTGTCCGGAGGGTTGGGTTATTCTGTCCTGGTACTGGAGGGGAAACCTCTTCCTGCCTCTCCTGTCCATGTCCGGAGCCAGGAGGATCCCTAGTGTTTGCTCAGTGTCCTCCTCTGCTAACCCAGCGGCGGGCGGCTACTCGGAGGTGGCCGGTACCAGTGGGTGTTGGTCTGAATGGAGTTTGCTGGGTGGCATTAACAAGCCGTTCTCTGCTTTGTTTCCAGGGGCTCCTGCGATTTCCCAGATCCCCTCGGTTATCCCAGGTAGGTTGGGTTTGTGCCAGGCTGGGTGGGCAGCTGCTCGTACCCCCGAGTTCGCTATTAGTGCCAGGGGCTCATTTGAACCCAAACGCAATAGGCGGGAAGTGGGAGTGACTCCCTGGCTCTCGGGCCTTTCAGAGCAGGACACTCCCATGCCCCTGGGCTGGGCAGTGGTGGGGACCAAGCCGTGGCGGCTCCTCCTGGCTCAGCCTGCAGGCGAATGGAGCCGAGCCGACTTTGGGAGCTGAGTGCCAAGGGGCTGGCTGCGGTCACACCACACACACCTGAGGGGCCTCGGAGCAGGGAGCCCGCTTCCTCGCTCTCCCTGCCCGGCTGGCCTGGCTGGGCGATGCCAGGAGGGCATTTCCCCAGGGAATGTCCTGCCCTTTGAGCCAGCAGCCAGCGCCAGGTGCAGCAGCCCTGGGGCGAGTCTCCTCGCCTTGTTACCCAGCTCCCTCCCTCTGCCCGCAGCCTCGCCCCGAGAGCGGCGCCAGCCCCGAGAAGCCCCTCCACTCCATCCTGGAGGACGAGGAGGAGCCCGACGACGTCTTCCACCCTTCGCCCGCCAGCCTGACCCACCGCAAGCTGCTGCTGCCCACCCTGCACAGCCCCGTGCGGCGTGGCTCTCTCAGCAGCCTGTTGGGGGACGAGCTGCGCCAGTTCTCAGCCCTGCGCCGCACCTGCCGCTCCCCCGCCCGCTGCAGCCGGGGCAGGAGCCCCTCTCCGCGGTGTCCGAGAGACAGCGAGAGAAGCAACGGCCGCAAGCCAGCCAAGCTCCTAATCCCCTCCCTGCACACCTCCGGCCCCCCGGACCTGAGCCCCAGGTAAGGACGGGCAGCGCTGGCAGCGCCATGTTCTTGGGACCCTGCAGCTGTGTGGCAAGCCACCAAACCGGCATGTGACGGTTTGCACGTGTGCCTCGGCTGCACACATCTGAGTGCAACGCCGTGTGCTCGCACGCCTGCGCACGTTGGCAGGGGTGAACTCATTAGCACGTGTGTGTGCACTTGTTGGAAAGACAGCAGCTCTCTGCATGCCTGGAGCATGCGTGGCCTCATTCACATGCCTGCACGGCTCTCACCAGTTCTTCTCCAGGCAATCGCCCATCTGCAGCGCTGCCTGGCCCCAGCGTGTGCGTCACACTCACAGTGGCTTCGGGTGCGTTTTGCCTGTGTGATGTAGGCCCTGGTGCATCTCCCACCCCAGTGGCTTAGGGGGATTCCAGCTCCTCGGGCTGGAAGCTCCCGGCGTGAGAGCCCTGGAGGCTGAATACTCCAGTTATCGCCCACAGCCGCAAGGCAAGCACCCCACACGCCTGCCTGGCCATGCCATGCGCCCACACCCCTCCCCTTGAGCCCTCCCCGCCTGCCCTAGAGATGAGTGGCTCAGTCTCCCCTCCCAGCCCCGGCCTCTCTGCTGGTGCTGCCAGCATGGGGGTGGGTGGTTAGTGCCACGGGGTGGGGATGGGATTGGCCCATGGAATCATCTGCCTGGATCAGGGCTGAGACCCACTCGCTCATTTCACCTCAGGCACCTGGTGGCAACAGCTGCCGTCCTCCGCTCAGCTGGCCACGCTGAAATCCTTGGGAGTTGCCCCATATGGGCCAGCAAGCCCGGGGCTCAGTCCCCCCGGGCCACCCAGACTGCATTCCCCAGTCGGGTTCTGCCTGCCAGGGCTTGAATTTCCACCCGTGCCCGGGAGGCAAAGGGGCCGGTTAGCGATGCCCAGCGGTGCTGCGCCAGCTGATCATGTCGGTAGGATTAAACATCCCCCCACCCCCTTAGGGTTGTTGACGGGATCGAGGATGATGGCGGGACATCGGAGATGCAAACCTTCCATTTCAACGTGGAGCCGCCTCGGCAGAGCTCGGTCGTAGACTCGCCGACGTCCGGTAACCGCCCACTGCCCCGGCTCCGGGCCAGACGGCGCTGGGGATAGGAGGCGCGCTCTGGCCCGGGGAGAACGGCTTGACATGAATAAGCAACTGTTTCCTCTGGGCCTGGGGAGTGCTTGTCCCAGGGTTTGGAGGGGAGGGGGTTTGCAGGGGGTCAGGGCGCCTGGGTCCTATCCCTGGCTGGGACTCAGGGCACGTCACTCATGCTGGCCGGCCCCCGGGGGGATGGGGCGGTGAAGTCATTTGTGCTGGTTTGGTCCCTGGAGGCAGAGCCAAGCGCGCGGCATTGGGATGAGCAGCGGCTAGTTCAGATGCTGGTGGATAAACTCCAACGCCTGCCAGCCGGGCCTGAACAGCTTGTGGGAGGGGGGCAGCTGGCGCCCTCCCACTCCGCCCCTCCAGAAGCTCCCCCGTCTCCGAACGTTCGGGGCTTGGGCCCAGAATGAGGCCTGGCGGGGGAGGGGTTGTATGCCAAGGGGTCGGCCGGTCCCAATGCTGGGCCAGGTGAATGGATGCGGGGCTCGCTTGGGGAGGCTTTGCCCTGGCATGGCCGTGAGTCCCAGTGGGCTGGGTCAAGGCCCATGGGGGCGCTCGGCCTTCCCCTGAGATCGGTCTGGGGTTCCTTGCAGGGACGGATGAGGCCAGCCCAGCCTTAGGTGCAGAAGCGGAGGAGATAAAGCAGAACGTCAGCAGACTGAACCACGAGGTACAGCCTGGAGCCCCTGCGGCCGGGGCGGGGGGTGGGGGGGAGAAGAGGTGGGCGCTGCAGGGCTGGCTCTCTTGGGGTTCGCATCCGTCTGGACCCCCCCCGGCACCGACCGACCCGCTGCTGCCTGGCGCATTCTGCAGGAGGTGAAGTGGCCCCAGCTGGTAGCAGCTCCCCACTTCCAGCGCTGATCCCGCTCCGGATCGGGCTGTTCGGCGGCTCTGCCCTGACTCAGGCGATGGGGTTTACAATGAGCCCAGGCTGTCTCTGTAAGGATTTCATAGCAACAAACGCAGCTCCAGAAGCAGCCCCTCCTCCTCCGTGCCTGCTCCCACCTCCCGTGGGCTGTGTGCTGGAGGGCAGGGTACGCTAGGCAGCAGGCAGGGTCTCTGTAGCTCCGGAGGTCCTCGCATTACGTCCCCCATGGCCTGTGGCCAAGGCGCTCCGTGGCCACGTGTGGAAGCTCACAGACCAGCAGGGCCGGGTTGCGGAGAGCGCGTCCCCTCTGACTGATTCTGGCTCACCAGTGTGCCGGGGCTGGGCCTACCCGCTGCGGTGGCTGCTGCTGGGTCCTGGCCCTCTGGGCTTCCCTCTCCTTTGCAGCCAGTGTGCACGGTAAACAGCGGCCCCCAGGAGAGGCAGGGCTGGTACACTGGGCTGCTGTGAGTAGCTGGGTGAGCAATTAGCATCCCGGATCCAGCAGGAGGTTACACCTGCCATCCCTGCAGAGAGCTAACAGCAGTGGCACTCAACATTTTTTGGATAGGACCTACAATAACAAAAGGTCTCCTGCTTCCGCTGCTTATTTTTCCTTTCTGCAGCAGCAGCAGGGAACAAGCCACTTCCCTGGGGTGCGTTGCCAATGGGGCTGGTGAACAAAACACAGGGCAATAGGCCCAGTGGGCAAGGCGGGGCACGTGTCCCGCGCTGTCCGAGGTCAGGATAAGTGGATGCATGGGGTAAAAGAGCCCCAGTGGGCTGTGCTGGGGCCGCAGGCAGGCGCTAGATAGACTGTTGTCTCTGGGGGTGCGTCACAGCAACCCTGACACACACACACACCCCGGTCCGGTCACCCACCGCCAGCCGCGTCCTGATCCGCACTCCACTGGCTGCAGATCCCGGAGCAGCCGGACCCAAAGGGGCGTCCCTGCCCCATGCTCCCAGAATCCTTTGCTTCTCCGTTGGAAGCGGGGCGACAGCCAGCATGACGAGTAGAGGGGCGCTGCTGAGCTGGGGGCAGGGGGTGTGGGCACAGGGCGTGACGCCGCCTCCTGGGGCACTGTCCCCTCGCTCAGCACGGTTTGTGTCTCTTTCCAGATCAATAACCTCAACCAGGAAGTTTCCCACCTCAGCCGGGAGCTGCAGCGCATGATGCACCTACTCCGCAGCCAGTTGCTGTGTGCCCCAGCCTTGGCCTGCCCCTACGGCCTCCCCGTTCTCTCCTCCCCACCCCCGAAACCCAGCAGCGGGAGCGAGCAGCCGCCCAGACTGCCCCCAGCGGCAGTGCCGTCTCGTCTGCCTTCGGCTCACGCCTCCATCTCGGTGCCGCTGTCACCGCCGCCGGGGGATGCTGGAGTCTCTCCCGGCACCACCTCTGCCGAGGTCCCTGGCTCCCGGAGCTCGCCCCCAGACAGCCCCCGGGAGCCGGAGGGGCTCCACGCTTCCAGAGACTCATCCCACGCGCCTTCCAGCCGTTACCGCCTGCCCCGGGCGGACGTGGACGGGGCCCACCTCCCACCGACACAAGCTGCCCCGCTCTGCGGTCAGACTCCCAGTCTTCCCTACTCGCTCGCAGGCTCCCCGGTCCTGTGCCCTCAGCCCTCGCCCCCTGCCGGCCCTGGCCCGGCCTTCCCCAACTGCTCCTCTCAGAGCCACCCCACGCCACACCGCTGCTGCAGATCAGACTCGGAAAGCTTCCATTGACGCCCCCCCCCCCGCCTTCTGCCCATAACCCCCTGCCGCGCCCCCACCTCCTGCACCGCTCGCCTGGGAGCTGCAGCGAGCCAAGCGGATGGAGTGCGCTGTGGGGGCCTCACCAGCGGTTTCCAGTGATGTCGATGGCTCCTTTCTGCCAGCGTCGATTTTCCTTCTCTCTGCAGGTGAATTGCAAGAGTTGGGGGCCGGGCGGGGGGTGGACGAGAGCCCCCATGGCTCTTCCAGGGCACTTCCCGCTCCAGGTGTGACCCCACCTGCTCACAGCGCTGCGGAGCGGGCGCATTTTCTACAAAATGACGTTTTTTGTTTGTGATGAGGAATTTATTCTGAGAGCCTTAGAACTCCTCGGAGGACCTGTCCTCTGCCCCCCGGACCAGCCCCACGGGTGCCCTGCAGGCCTGGAGCGCCCCCAAGCCAGGTACCTCTCTGCTCCCCTGGCGGGAGTTCGATACGCCGCTCTCGCCGCAGCCTTCTGCTCCCATCGTCAGTATGTGTTTGCCTGACTTGGACGGGGTCAGGTCCCGCGGAGGGGGTGGGGGCTGCGCTGGTGGCCCAGCGGGGTCGGGCTGGGTGTAACTTCCAGAGCGAACGGCCTGTATGAAACGTACGATGCTGGAAACCAGGCCCGGCAGGGCCGGACCAGCTCTGGCTGACCCCACCCGACTCTGTGGAAGTCCCCGGGGCAGTAGTTTGCAGGGCTGGACTGTGCAGCCCCTGGGTCAGTCCCGTAATCTCTCCGCCTCCCCCCGGGGCCGATTCAGAGCCGCTTTGTGTTCGGCAGCTTAGGGCTGTTTCGAGGCGTTGCAAGGTTGTGTCTGGAACTCGCCTTACGGATGTAGCTGGGGGAGGGGGAGCTCTGCCCATTTGGGGAGCGTGACAGCAACTCCCCTGGGGCTGGGGGTCACATCTCCACCTGCTACACAGCCCTCTCCTTCCGCCCAAGCCGCAGCTCCTCAAAACTGTAACCCCTGGCTCAGTGCGTGTTGGATGTGTCACCCCGCTGCGGGGGTGGAGGGGGACGTGCACGTGATCCGCCAGCATCCTCTGTTCCAACACAGCCCTGCCTGGCCGCCCTGGCTCCTGGGTGTCCTCTGCACTGGCCGAGGCCTCTCGTCCGGGCACGTGCATCCCCCAACCAGCCTCCGGAGGCTGCAGGCCACGCAGGGCCATGGCTGGCTCTGAGATGGATTTCAACACCTCTAGGCTGTTGCCACCAAGTGCCCGGTGGCATTTCCCGGCTTGCTCCCCCCCATGGGACCTCAGCTGCCCCCGCCACAAGCCGCCAGCATCTCCTGCTCCTCTGTGTGAAGGAGCGGGGGGCAGGGGGAGGCCGGATGAGCCCCGCTCCAGGGAACGGGGGGTGGGTGGGGAGGCCTTAGTGCTCAGGTTTAGGATAGCAGGGGAAGTCCCTTTGCCCAGGTGGAACTTCCCCACAAAGCTGCCTGTTCCCACTGCCCCGGGCACATGGCCAGGCCCCGGCCGGGTGGGGTCGCTTTGCGGCCTGCAGCCCCAGCTCTGCAAACCAGCAGAGGCAGGGGGGATTTAAAGCCTTTTGATAGTTTTTTTCCCAAAGGTTTTTTAACATTTTTTATTTCCTGGTGGGATTTTTCTCCCCCGCCCCCGATGACACGGATGGGCAGCTCTGGGCCAGCACGGGGGGAGCCGGCCCCTGCTCTGGGCAGGGCTGGTGCTGCTGTCTGTATGGCTGGTGACTCGGCCCCGTGCATTGAGTTTGGGGGGTCTCAGGCCTGTTCTCAGCGGGCCAAGGAGAGGGGCAGCCGAGCCAGAGGCCCTGCTCAGCCCCTGTCCTAGGCTGGGAGCGCGGGCTCCAGACTGCCGGGCGCAGCGCCGGCCCTCGCTCTGAAAAGCAAAGGAGCCCGCAGGACAGGCCTGGCTGGGCGAGGGGAGCTAGCGGCTCGGGACACTGGGTGTCCTCATTCCCGGTGGCACCATATCAGCCCCTGGGGGATGGAGGTTTCCCGAATGGCCTTCGGGGACTCCCCCCACCCCCCGGCTCATCCCCGATGGGCCAGTGGCAGCTGGAGCCCTCAGCTGGGCGGGGCCGGCCCGTCAGCGCTCTGGGGTCAGCTGGGCAGAGCTGGGGGGTAGGCGCAGGGCAGGGCACACTCTGGGTGCCCACCGGCCTGGCAGCGCCAGCACTGACCCCCACACCCCGGCGCTGTCTCTGATTTCCCCATAACATGTCCGGGGAACCCCCTGGCCTGCCCCGTGGGCTCATGGGTATTCCTCCCCCCCCTTTGATACAGCTGCCACGGTGGTGACATGACAGTCGTCCCTGCGACTGTTGGCCACTGTCCTGGGAACAGGCAGAGCCCTCCCTGTGCCGAGCTCTGGCTGCTTGTCCCAGGAGTGCTGCACCAGCCTGGCTATTCGGGGTGAGCACGTACCAGCCATGGGGGCACTGCCCAAGGAGACGCCTCTGTCGCCATCCTTCCCCCCCGCTGAGACAACCTGGCTTGGCTGCTACCCGTCCCTCTCCTCCCTGGGCCCAGAGGCGCACTGACTGCAGCCTTCGCCCATCCCGTAACCCCTCTGCTGCTGCAGCGCTCGGCTCCGGGGCTCCGCTCCCCGCAGGGAAGTTTTGTGCTTCTCTAGAATTTTGTTCCATTTTATTTTTGACCCCCCCCACACAAATGACCACCCCCCCTTGTCTGCCACCAGCATGCGCCACCGCTGCTACCCACTGCCCAGCCACCACCTCCATGGTGCTGCAAAGACACAACCTGTAATAAAAGCTCTATTTTTACAGCCGCTGGCTGTGGGTGGTTGTGTCCCTGCTGCTTGGGGTGGGGTGGGGGCGGGGGGGTTGTGCCCCTGCTGCCTAGGAAATGGGTTGGACTAGATACCTCCTGAGGTCCCTTCCAACCCTGATAGTCTATGATTCCACGTGGTACAGTCCAGGGGTGGAGAGAAATGCGGGGGGGGAGGGCTTCATGCCTATTTGGTTCCCAAAATACCTGGTCCCCCACAGCCCCTCGCTGCAAAGCCCCTGTATGTTCCAGCTCCCAGACTCCGGAGAGCCCACGTCCCCCTTCGCAGCTCCCACCCCGGCTGCCGGGCAGGGGAACCTTCGCATCTGCATCAATGCCAGCCGGCTCCAGCTGCTCAGAGCCCTCCCATGGCGCTAGCTGGGATCCCCAGGGACCAATTCAGGGCTCGCCACCCCCACACCCGCTAGCCATCACAGCTACCTGGGAGGGGCTGCCGGAGGGGGGGTCCAACCCTTGCCCCAGACCCCTCGGAGCTGCAGCTCGGCCCCATGGGCAGACATTAGCACTTGAAGGTTTGGTTGAGCTGTTTTGCATTTGCAAAGTGCTCTCGCATGGGCAGCTGTTCCTGTAAGCTGCCTTCCTCCACACACCTCCCCCCAGCACCAGCTGCCCACGAAGAATATTTAATCTCTGCATTATTTAGTATTTATTTTTAAAGAAAACAATGGAGCGGCAAAGGGCTTCGCGCTGCGGCTGCCAGGGGAGCGCGTGGGCGTGGTGCCCCCAGGGCACAGCCAGCAGCTTCTCCAGCCAGATGTGGGGGAGGCTGTATTGTGTGGGAGTCGGTTGCTCCAAAGCAGGAGAGGGGCCAAGGTCATTCCAGGGCTGGGGAACTGGCTTTTCTCCTCCACATCCCACGTGGCTCAGATTCAGAGGGAGCTGTGCAGGGGCCTCCCGGTCCCGCATCCACCATCCCCGCTGGCCCTTTGTCTGCCAGGACCCAGACGGGCCAGCTGACCTCTCCCCTATCTGAGCTGCTGCCCCCCGGGGGGGTGTGTGTGTGCAAACGGGGGGTGTCTTGCACAACTGCTGCCTGTATTGCCCTGCTTCAGGCCCCTGTCTGCCTGAATCCCCCCTCACCTGCCTGCCTGAGCACCAGGACGGACCAAAAACGCTGTGCTCAGTGGGGCCGCGCCAGCCTGCTGCCCAGGCTAGCAGGCAGGGGAACCACCCTGCCTGGGAAGGGGGCAGTTAACTGTTGGCTCCTTTTCCTGGCAGCCCAGCCCAGCTCTTGGGCACCAGGACCCACCTGTCCTTGCCCGCGGGGGCTGCTGGCACTCAGCCATTGATAGATTGGCCGGCCCCAGTTTGCTGGCACCCTGCTCTCTAGCGCCGCATGGGGGCAGCGGTTTTAATGCTGACCTGCAGCACCCCCTGCAGGTCTCTACGTGCTCTGTGGCGCTCGCCCAGCCCTGCTCAGCGACTGGGGCACCCGTACTGAGTTCCCTGGTACTGCCGTGGCTCTGGCAACTCGGTTCATCGCGGGTTCTCTGCCCGCCCTGCCCCAGCCACACTCTCGGGCCCCAGAGAGGAGGGCAGGGATGTGCAAATCTCCCCTAGGCCCAGGGCTGGCGCCAGCAGGTCCCAGGTCTCTGTTGGCAACAAACAACACACACAGCGTCACCTCTCCTCTAATGAGCCCTCTGGGTCGATTGCATCACCTGCCCTCCAGTCAGCAGGGGCTGCCTGGCCAAGCCAAAGGGAGGGGGCAGGTTGCGGATCCCATCCTCCGACCCAGCCAGTCCCTGTGGCCCACTACCCCCCTGCATCCATTGCTCCTTGTGCTTAACGAGCTGTGGGCCGGACCCTGCACTGCACTGAGTCACAGCAATGCCACAACAGCTCCCCAGAGGCGCCGACGTCACCGAGCCCAGGACCGTCACCCAGCCCCGAGCACCCACACGGACCCTGCAGCCAGCTCCTAGCTCTGCCTGTTAAATTCTCTCCTCCTGGAAGGCCGGGGCCCTGGGGACCTCCAGCTGCCGGTTCCACCCTTCCCTGGGAGGCGTTTTGAGCCCCAGAGCTCTCGTCTCCAGGGCGCTGCACCAGGCTGCACTCTGCTCTCCCGGCCAGGAGACACTGCTGCGGAAGAGACGGCGGCTATTCTCCGTGATGGTGCCCCCACTCCAGGGGCTGCGGGAGTTCCCCTCCTCCAGGGATCTTCACCTCCAGCCCCTTTCTCTCCAATGTGCATTGGCTGCTCTCTGCACACAGGATCCCCTTCACCCACCGCTGAAATGCAGCCACCTCTGGGGAGGCTGCGTAACGTGCCCTGTATCCATCAGCAGCAGCGTCTGAACCCAGAACCTTCAGCTGCACTGCACAGCCCTCTCGTGCTGGAAGTAGCTGGTGCCAGCCTCGAGAGGGAGACGCAGCCCAGTCAGCACCCAGCCTGGGGGGGGGGGACTATCTCCGAAGCATGGAGCAGCAGCCTGGGTTTGCAGGACTGGGTCCTGCCAGCACCCCAGGG